AATATATATATATATATATATATATATACACACACACACACACACACACAATTTAAAATCATAAATTATAAAATACTAATTTTATTCATTTAATTATTGATTTTCCTGTACTATCTGGTTCAACTCATCTTCCATTTTTAAAATTATTAAAATGATATCAAAAATAAAACAACTAACAATTACTAAATTAATCATAAAAGTTATAATTGTATTAATTTAATGGCGAATTTTCCCTGTACTCTCCAAATCAACTCATCCTTTTGCATTTTTTTTTCATTATTAAAATGATAAAAAAGTTTAAATAATTAAAAATAATAAAATTAATTATAAAAATAGTTATTATATGAACTTGACACCTTATTTTCCCGGTTCAAATCTTCCTATTTTGTTTTTTAATCATTAGAGTAATAAAAAAGTGCATTATTAAAATAATTAAAAATGACAAAATTAATACATTTATTGTTTTTTAATACATTTAATTGTTTTTTTAATCATTAAAACTATAAAATATTTTTAGAATAATTACAAATTATAACATTTAATAAAACATATAGAATTATATATTTATAGGCAGTTTAAATAATATTTGTCTACACAATAATTAATAATTAATAATTTTAAAAAGTGAAGTATAAGCCTTTATATTCAAAGGTTTTTTTAAGATCATGCAAAACATGTGTCCAAACTGTTAGACAGTAAATCAGTCCATCAAGTAAGTGTGTTATTCTGTCCTCCAATTATACTTTCACACTTCTTCTCTATTTTTACACAGTTCATGAGACCTTAGAGTTCAGTGGAACTAACACTCCAGAAAGATATGAACAAGCTCTGCCTGTGTGTGTTTGTCTACACACATACAGCGGCACAAAAATGTATTCGGACATTACTGCATTAAATTTTTTTTTTAAAAATGTAAAAAAATGTGGAATCTGCATTCAAATGATGTGCAAGCTTTTCTCAGAACAAACTTCACTGTTTCCGAGCCACTTTTTCAATGATATTTAACCAGCTGCTCTCAAGGTCATTTTTCATGGATGTATGAAGTCAGTTCTGCTCAAGTTCACACAGGTGTTCTCGCAGAATAACCAACGGCCTAGCCCATCATATTAACAGATGAACATGGTCCACAAAGCCTGACAACAGCAAAGTGTCCCAGACTTTTCATTTTCATTTTGAATAATACATTTATAGTTTTCTATTTTGAAAGTAGAGTGATCGTTTTGAACTTAGATACTATTCAAAACATGTTACTTTAGCTAAAGTATCGGTATAAATACTTTGTACCCTTTACCGTGTGTGTGGGGTAAAAAGGCTCATCTTGCCCATTACACATTTATAACATTTTTAAACAAAACAAAACACTTTTATGATTTATTTTCACACAAAATCTGTTGCTCCATCAATGTTCAATAAAAAAATATCTTTTCTGCAATTATACACTATGGGGGTAGAGAAAAGCACATTTTTCTTAAAGTATATGCCTTCAGCCCTGTTGTACCCTACTAATATGAATAAGAGCTGTCAATTTAACATGTTAATTAGTACATTTAATTATAAAAAAATAGTTTGACAGCTGGCAGCACAGGAGAGAGCTTGACATTCATCCCTATAGGCAAAGCTGATCAGTACGGTATTGACGTACGTGTGTGTGTGTGTGTGAGTTTGTACCTCAGCAGGCGGTATGCCCTCAGGTGGGCGGCACTGCAGCAGCACTTCCTGTTCGAGTGACACCTCCTTCCCCAAGGGTTCCTGCTCAAACGTCTTCCTCAAGACTGTGGAGAATGGAGACAGAGAGGCGACTCATTTACGTATACTTCATTAGTCACCTAGCAACAGTGCTGAATATTTCTTACATTTCACATGGTCATTTTATTTTGAAAATCAGTTTATTTCCAGGTTTAAATGGAAAAATAACAGATTTAGCAAGACTTATATAAGTAGTGCAGAATTCATTATCGCCCTGCGGTTCATCTCATTGTGATGTTTTCTGTGTAGCTGACAGTGTGTGATTGGCTTCTTTACACAGGTGAAGAGTACAGCTCACAGGATGTGTGAATGACGCTCATATCTGCCATATTCTCAGGTCAAAGCAAACATTTGTGCTACTCGTTCACATTATTATCTCATAATGTTCACATGCAGGTGTAAATATCTGCTTTTCCTGTTGGTTTCTCTGTGTGTGTGTGTGTGAGTGGGTGTCTAACACTTGAGGTCTAACGGACAGAAGGCCAGACTCATCTCGTCTTCAACACATCCTTTTCTCACCTCTCGTGTGAACCTGTGAATTGTAAATGCAGAGATGTGTGTGAATAGTTGTGGAGGGAGTGAATATGTGAATACCAAACCTCTTTCTCTCTGTTGCTTTGTGAGGTTTGTGATGAAGTTAAGACTTCATATCTGTTCACTAGTGCCGGGTGACACATACACTGATCATTTTATGACGTATGTCGTATTATAATATTTCGTATTTGTAACAAAGTTAAAAGCTCAGGGAAGAAGGAGGCGGGAAAAGGCGAACATTTAAACATAAAACTTTAATTATCAAATAAACGAACATAGAACAAAAATAAATGCGGCAGCCCGTCACGGACGACACATCAACATAAATTTTAGGTAATGTATTCTGAATACTTTTATTTATTTATTTTTTATCTAACTTGCTTTACACTTACCACTAAACATGCCATATTGATATAAACAGCAAAGAGAAAGAAAATATTTTCAATTTTTTTATTATAAAGTGCATTAAATCTTACATTAAAACAAGGTTTCCCAAACTGGGCTTAATGTAAGAACAGCAGTGGGCTTGTGAGTTGATAAAAAGCTAATAATTAATTAAATCATGAAAGTGTAAAATAAATTATTTAAACGCTTGGACACTAAAAATATAAATATTTTATTTGTTTAACTGCATTTCAATGTGACCATTACCAGACATCAGAGAACTGTGAACATGCAAATGGGTTGTAAAATTATTGAAATATGAACTGACAAAAACGTTTGGGAATTCCTGCATTACATGAACAAACATTAATAAACATGAAAATAACAAAGTCTTCCAGGTTTGAAATTTTTTTTTGTCCAGACTTCCAGAATCAACAATTCCTGAAGGTTACTGTTTCACAGCCATACATCACCATTGTTTAGTAACTTGCATAATTATTTATTTCATACAATTTTTTAATTGCTTGAGAGGTGCTTTTTTCACCCAAATTCAGAAGCACGATTTGCTAATTTATTTGCATTTATTTACACTGATATTTACATGAACATCCTATATTGTGAACATAGTCAAAGCTAAATGGTATGACACAGTAGGATTTTTAGAAAGGAAAATTTAAAAGAAAAAAAAAGAATTTGGGAGAATCGATCAATTATGAATGATTTTCTGCCATTGTGTGAATAATATGTAATCATGTAATCCATAAAAAGTAACTGCAATCTGATTATGAGCATTATAAAATGTAATATGTACGAGTACTTGATTTTTTGGAATCTGATTACATAATCCAGGTTACATTTAATCAGTTACTACCCTAGTTTTGGAGACAGACAGATTTCAACTGTACATTGCGATTGGTTCAATCAATTCTGATTCAATGATTTATTTGTGTCAATGCTCCAAAAATGTCACGTTCATTCATTAATTCATTAATTCATTCATGTGTTCTGTCCCCATGTGTAATTTGGATGATTGAAAATTATTAAAAATGATTGAGAACATGGCCATTTTGCCTTAACCATTTTTAACTAGATTTTACTTCTTACATTAAACATCTACTTCTCAACAATAGCTGATGTGCCTGTAGTTGATTGGATGATTCCCACTCGTCAAAACACTATAAAAATATTGAGATCAAGAAACATATTTTTTATCTAATTTCACCCAGAACTGCTGCTCACCTTGAAACTTCAATTGTCTGCGTTGTGATTTCTCCATTCAACTGGACATAAAAAAAACACACACACACACACACAAGCGCATAAGGCAAATATCTTCAGCCTGTCAAGCATTTTACTGCTCTGCTCATTCAGACACACACACACACACACACACAAACGGTGCATGTCTGTTTTCCTTCACATTACTGATGGAGGTAATAGGCAAATAAATCACATCTCAGAAGAGGTGTGTGTCCGTGTGTGCGAGTACGGTAATGCATTCAACTCATAGTTTTAGTGCTCTACATTGCTACAGCAACAAATCTTAAACAGCATTAATATCCTGAACAGAGCTGAAGCCACACACACACACACACACACACCTGCACAACAGCACTCCTATTTCATTCATAATTATAATGTCTAGACTTCAGCAACAAACTGACCACAGTCCCTCAACACATCACGTATAATGTCCAGCGCTATTTAAAGTCACTAAACTAATCAAATATAACATTTATCACTACACACTGTAAATAATACAAACTAATTATAAATTGTATTTAGCACTAAACATATTTAAGGCTGGTCGCTAATCTAATATAATCTAAGTCACTAATTTAATATAACGTCTGTCATCATACATAGACCCTAAACTAATATGAAATATCTGGTTACTAATCGAATATAACATCTATCACTATACCCAATCTCTAAACTAATATCTAAAATATATATTTTAGGTCACTAAAATAATCAAATAACATTTATCACTACATACGGTCCCTAAACTAATAATATATAAAATATTTAAAGTCACTAAACTAATCAAATATCACATATATCAGTATATACAGTTCCCTTTCAGTCGGTCACTCTCGACGTCACCTCGGATGACCGACAAATTGGGATCTCGCTTAGAGAGACCAATCTACTTCAAGTGTAAACTAAACGAGCCAATGCACATTGACTCACCAGGTCGTGGACGGCACCTTTTACTGCCTGAAAACGATCTGCTGGTTCCTCCTCCCTCACCACCCTCGACGGTGGTGCAGCTAGTCTCAGAGAACTCCACACCATGATGGACCTTGCACTACGAGCGACGAAGGTTACGGCGTGGTCTCTCGTCCGGCTCGTGTTTGCCTCTCCAGAAACCTCTCACTGCCAGTTGTTCTACTCCCTGACCAAGGGAACAGCGCTCACGTCACCCTGCTCGTGACGTCTCGCTGCTCCATTGGACTGATTTTACACGTGCTTCAGAACGCGGTCACGCAGGGGCGTTCCCAAAGCGAATCTCGACGCAGCGTCTCGTTCCCTCGGGGAACCATGGTTGCATACGTAACCTAGAGACGTTACCATACGTAACTGAGACGTTTCTAAACTAATATTACTTAAAATGTAAAATATTTAAAGTCAATAAACTAATCAAATATAAGTTTCTAAACTAAAACTATATCAAATATAACATTGTTCAAGTCACTACACTAATCAAATATAACATTGATCACTATATACAGACACAAAACGAATAAAATATAAAATAGCCAGTAATCAAATAAAACATATATAACTATACTCTAAACTAATATTATATAAAATATTCAAAGTCACTAAACTAATCAAATGTAAGACATATTCACTATATATAGCTCCTAAAATGATAACATATGAATTAAAAAAAAAAAAACATGTATATAACAAATATAACATTTATCACTATCCAAGTCACAAAACTAACAATATATAAAATAAACATATTCACTATATATAGCTCCTAAAATTATAACATATGAATTAAAAAAAAAAAAACATGTATATAACAAATATAACATTTATCACTATCCAAGTCACAAAACTAACAATATATAAAATAAATTAATGTAAATTAAAATAAATATATTATAAAATATCACATATAAAATAAATTATATTATATAAAATTCTTTAAAAATAATTATTTATAAATTAAATTACATAAATTAATATTATATAAAATATAAATTAATAATATATCAAATATAAAATATTTAGTCACTAATCAAATATAACATCTAAACTAAAAATCATTTATCAGCCTACAGTAACTATAAGATGTACAGTTTCAGCAAATAATTAATAATAATCCAGAATTCAAATAACATGCAATCACAGATGAGCGTATGACTATGAATGTGGCTTGTCTTATAATTATAAAATATAACATAAATAACAATCTCTACAATGCAAAATAGCATGAACTTTCTGATGCAGACCTGCGCTCATACCGATCTGTAGATTCAAGCATTCATCATAATCCAAACAAACCTTCAAAAAAGTGTTGCACTCGTGATCAGTATGAACCCATCACCACCATTAAACACACACACACACACACACACAC